GGCCCTGCGAGATGCCGCAGCGTTGACCCCAGCGTGGCAACGTCTATTTCGCGCAGCAACGTTGCAGTGCCTTGGGCCGAAAAAGTGTAACAGTGGCAGCATGGCCGCTGTTTCACTTATTATGGAATGAAATACTGACCTACTGAGCCTGATGCGCCGTTTTTCGTCACATGGGCTGATACGGGGGTCAATGCGACTCCCTGGTGTTTCCAGACTAATGAACACAGAGATTAGACAAAAACATCAGTAGATTGGTCTCAGCGAGGTCTCGCGATTGGTACTAGTTTTGATGTTAAGCCAACACCCCATTTACCAAGTTCATTATGCACATCTGCCGTTATGGCCACATTATGCCAGGGGGCCACAATGATTCCAGGTCACAGGTCGATTGCCGCGAAAATAGCACTTTTTCAGCTTAACGATATCGTACATGCTAGACTACGCCGAACGGCAACACAAAACCTAGAATGTCAGGGGTGGAGCGAGAGAGGTACTGACACTTGGATGACGGGGAGTTAGTAGTGGATATCGAGGAGTTCCAGGAGTGGATCGAGAGAGTGTTGGAAATGGAGAGGGGGCTTTAGGAGTGGAGTGAGATTATTGATAGAAGTGTGGGGAGAGTAGCAACAAGCGGAGTGAATCAAGTGTCATGAGTGTGACGAGAGTGGCATCGGCGCCAGGAATGAAGTGGAAGGGTGCCAAGGGCAGAAAGCGGGGGCAGAGCCGAGTGGTATGTTCTGCTGTATCAAAAGTTGCATAAGATGACTGGCAAGAGTAGAATGAGCGTCGAAAACGCAGTGAAAGGATAGTGCAACGACGGGCTGGTGTCATTCTCTCAGCCGTTTCAGTGAGGTTTCGGAGAACGCTGGGACTAATGCAATTTTTCCCTTGTAATTTTTTTGTGATAACCCTTAAGTACAATGTGGGGAACAAACGAACATGACCAATGCGTTATGTGCATATGTCCTGCGTTATCTGGGCCCAATCGTTGATTTTATTGTGCCAGAGATGGCGCAGCCAGCACACTGGTTGTCATCTACCATCTCCCTCAGTCGCTGAACCTGCAGGTCCGGGGGAATCCACCCAGTTCCGTAACCCGTCCGTTAAAGGGAATGTTGCACATTTAAAGACATTGATGCAAGCATCAGATGTGATGAAATAAGCTCACTTAGACTTCTTGGAACACTTTTAAGGGGAAAAGACTGCTGAAGACAAGACCAGCAATTATCCCCACATTGCATCATTGCTTAATAACGTCATCGTACCTTGCACGACATTGGTTGAGATCCGCTTGACGGCCATTATATTTGGCGTTCGTGAGCGTGAACGCCGGATATAAACGATTCGACAGCGGTATTTCTTTCTGAGCCTTGATCACCGAGTGGCTTATGGAATGACAACATTTGAATAACGATATTATGGCCTCATAGATGTTTGGGTAACCTAGAAATAATCTCCCCGCATAAGTCTGCACATCTTCGCGGGCGTGTAGCCCAGAAACTAGAGGGGCTTAGGTCTTGGGAAGGGCATGGCTGTGAACTATACCGAATGATCTCCAAGATGGCTATTTCATTTCAAATCCCCATCCAAATGCGGAACACTCCCTTTAAGATTGCATAACTCTGCAACAAAATCAGCGTAAGACCTCACCGCAAAACCTTCGAAGGGCTTACCGTGCGTGCCTCTTAGGCCGAGCCTGGTGCGTTGCATGCGCTCGCCGGCACCGTGACGTCATCCGGCGCCGGTGTGACGTCATGGTCACGTCGCGCGGCCACGGGTACGCGTGCGCCGGCCGGCTGGCGTCTCCGCCGGCCGCGAGTATCGCAGTGACGCACCGCTGCGGGCGTCGCGAGCGCCACGGTCGCCGCCGCTCTGTGACGTCAAACCGGTCCGGCATCACGGAGTAGCAGGCGGCGGGTCCGGCTCGACCAGCCGTGAGTTGAGGAGGGGCGACGGGTCCGCGGGAGCCGGTGTTGAGGAGGGGTGACGGGTCTGCGGGAGCCGGTGTTGAGGAGCGGAGACGGGTCCGCGGGAGCCGGTGTTGAGGAGGGGTGACGGGTTCGCGGGAGCCGGTGATGAGGAGGGATGACGGGCCCGCGGAAGCCGGTGTTGAGGAGGGGTGACGGGTCCGCAGGAGCCGGTGTTGAGGAGGGGTGACGGGTCCGCGGGAGCCGGTGTTGAGGAGAGGAGACGGGTCCGTGGAAGCCGGTGTTGGGGAGGGTTACGGGTCCGCGGGAGCCGGTGTTGAGGAGGAGAGACGGATCCGCGGAAGCCGGTGTTGAGGAGGGGTGACCGGTCCGCGGGAGCCGGTGTTGGGGAGGGGCGACGGGTCCGCGGGAGCCGGTGTTGAGGAGGGGTGACGGGTCTACGGGAGCCGGTGTTGGGGAGGGTACTGGGTCCGCGGGAGCCGGTGTTGGAGAGGGGTGACGGGTCCGCGGGAGCCGGTGTTGAGGAGCGGTGACGGGTCCGCGGGAGCCAGTGTTGGGGAGGGGTGACAGGTTCGTGAGAGCGGTTACGTGGGGATGCTGATTGGTCGCGGTGAATGCCGGTTTTTACGCACGGTGTGTTCGGTGTTATCGAGTCGCGAGCGCTTTGCTTGACCACCCGTCATAATCTCATCAAGGAGGAAACGTTATGCGGCGGAGCCGTGGCTCGTTTGGAAGTGTGATGTGCTTTTCGGCAATTCATGCGGTGTGTGCTTGCCCTGCCTAAGCGAAAGTCTATCACTGTGCCGAGGCGCTAGCAGGGCCACCTTTCCGGACATGCGTCACAAGCAAGTCGCCAGCGAAGTCCACGAGTCAATACTTCCGCTCAGGTGCATCGGACGGCGGTAGTCCTACGGGAAACAGCGCCGTCGTGGCGGCCGGTCCCGACGACGTCAGTGCCAAGCTTTGAGACTGTCCTGTCGGAAGACTGTGATTGCCGCGTGAGCGATTTTCAGTGCGGTCTTCTATGCCTCTTAACCCCCCCCCCCCCCTCCCCGCCACCCCGTCTGGACTGTCAGCTCACTGCAGTGTGGGGGACACCGCAAAAGGAACGGGATCACGGACATTTTTTAATTGTGTGATTTTCATGTCAAGGACAGGTTGCAATCAATGTTTGCAGCTCCGCAGATTAGACCAGTGGACAGCGGGAAAGATGGCATTTATGCAATGCGAATTGGGACCTCAGCTCACTATTCCACGAGCCGCACCATGCATACTGCGCACCACTGCGGGGCACTTGGACAGTGTGGCATAGATTTGTCAAATGACTCTCACTGAAGCGAACCGTAGTGGGAATGGGACAGTGGTGAGAATAAAACGCCGGTTAAAATAGGATCGTTTGTCTGAGCAGATGCCGCGGTTTTCGAACCCCTTAAGATGGCAATGTACTCATTGTTTAACTCCGCAAGGAGGGCAATCACAGGGCAATGAAAAATCCAAACGTTGAGGTCATTGATATGTGGGGTTTCAGTGCAACTACCCTGTAGTAAAACTCAGTTATCCTTACGTAGCTCCATGCAGTTTGCATGCCACATTCTATCCCATCAATTTTTGAATCATGCGTATCAATTATTGAAAGTTTGCCAAGTCCTATGGGCACGGAGAGTCGCCAGGACGCCGTACATTTCTGTGGATAAATTTGGACTTGCTCAGGGCAGTTGGACGTTGGTCAGAAACCGTGCCATTTGCCCCCCTCCCCCCCCCCCCTCTAAGCACGGCAGCACGTTTTGCTTTGCACGTCTCTCCCGCATTGTAAAACCAATGCATAGTCAGTTGGCTTATATTACTGTTGGATTCTACCATCGATTAAAGCTGTTTTAAAACAGCTGACCGGCGTGTGGAACGAAAAACAAAATCCCACGACCTGAGTTGTCGGTTCATGCATGTTTTCCAGCACCGTTTGCAATTAGTCGTGCGAACTTGAGCTCATTTGCTGAATGCTTGGAAGGTCATTGGTAAATTATCCCTGATTGATTACGTTGAGAACTCCAGCGCTGTCCGTTCCCGAAGTTTCCTATTTTACTTTAAGAGCAGAGCTGTGTATGCACAGATATAGTAATGCGTCGGGATTATTCGGTGGCTGGCCACAAAGTGTTTTATGTCACATAATTAAACAAAAAATACGGAGCTCCTAAAGGTCCCATGCATTCCTGCCCTGCGCCGTCTTTCGGAGTAACAGTTTTTGAGACATTCATAATTTCGTCTTCAGAAACGAGATCCGTCGGCGACTCACAGCATGGGGGCAACGTGAGTACAGTCATCCGGATGAATTGTGAGAAGCAACCGCATCACGCATCCCGGTGGCCACAGCTGTAGCGACTTGCCATTGTGTTTTCTCCCGTTTGATAGCGTCATGACTTGCCCGAGCCTTTGCTATATGGTTCCAGTAGCGCAATACGTGGGGCCACGTCTGCAAAAGTCATGAGCTAGTGCGTGTGCAAGATCCATGACTATTACAACAAAAGTCAACATCACGTAGAAGAAATAGGATACATTCCAAAAAGACATTCAAAGGGAGCCTAAGGGAAGTTTAAAAGAAGGGGGCATCCACCATATGTCTGCAAAGGTACAGCCGACGAGCGGGGCTGGGATCCTCCTCTCTTACGCCCGCGTATCGTTTTATTTCATCGCTATAGATTTCTCCGGAACGGAATAAAACAGCAGGGTGGTAAATATTCACTGAATTTTTCACCCCTAAAAAACCTTGGATATGTCCTGTGTTTCTTGATCCCAAGATAAGGTTTTTGATTCTAAAGAATACTTCGACAAAATAGACAAAGATCGCAGACCGCAAAGGATGCTTCGGAACAGCTTAAAAGGCGATTTGATCCCAAAGGACATTTTGACGGAATCAAACAGCAAATTTTGCAGTCAGTTTGTTATGCCACCATTGAATTATGCCGTCCCATTCTCCCGTAGATAAGCTTCCTGCGTACAGCGCTCCTAACGCGTGGTTGCGGACAAAACCCGTACCACATATTCCAGCCTGTGGCACCCGCTATCCCGTCGGGCTTGGTCGGGCCTGACCAGCCTGTGGCACCCGCTATCCCGTCGGGCTTGGCCGGGTCTGACCAGCCTGTGGCACCCGCTTTCCCGTCGGGCTTGATCAGGTCTTACCAGCCGGCCCCTGGGCAGAGTGGTGGGATGGTGGTGGTGGAGGGGGGAGGGGGGGGGGAGCGGGGCGTCAGTCAGCGCTGATGTGGCACGGCCCTCCACAAGCCGCGCGCGCTGACGGCGACGCCAGCCCCGAGACCGGAACTGCTGAGCATCGTGAGCAGGGCTTAACGCACGCTTCACGTCATCTTCGTCTGAAGCGATCGGCTTTAGTCAGCCCAAGCTGATATGTCTTCATCTAGTGCACACACACACACACACGCACGCACGCACGCACGCACGCACGCACGCACGCACGCACGACACACACACACACACACGCACACACACACACACACACACACGCACACACACACACACACACACACGCACACACACACACACACACACACACACACACACACACACACACACACACACACACACACACACACACACACACACACACACACACCATATATATATATATATATATATATATATATATATATCTATATATATATATATCAATCATCATCATCAATATTGTATCGACTTATCCTTGCCTGCAATGCTGTAGTCCTGACGTTGAACAATGTCATGTACACGGTAGTTACTCCCTTTATTATTTGTGGCTGGAAATGCAGCTACATGCACAAATTAATAAATCTGTGGCATCGCTATGAATTGATTCCCGAAGGATTGTTGTTTCTATGGTAAAGATCGTAAGGTTTAGCCACCAAAAATGTTCTCCTTGCTTAGGATTACTTATGCAATCGCTAGTTAATCCTGATACAACCACTGTGGTACAACAGCATTCGCGCTGGTGATTGTCCTTTGGCGTTGTTAAACCAGTTGTTACGCCATTCATAAATTATAGACTGTTTTCTCATGGGCTTGACATAGACTAGTCAACCAGTGTGGTACATTGTGTTATGGCACAGACCAACAGTGTCATAGTGGCACTACCTCTGTGCTGTAGTGTGGTATGGCATAATGAACAATGATACAGTTTTTGTATTGCAATCCCTGCTGCTTTCATACTAAATTCCATTATGAAAAGATGGGTGAAGCATGGTATATCACACATGGTGTGATATACAAATCACTTTCCGGAAGGCACACAACCAATAAGTGACATCACTTACTCAGCCTGTTTTGGGAGTCCATAAATTATAGGTAACAAAGATGTAAGCACGTCCTCTGTTTCCACAGCCATGAAACATGCTCGGCCATCAGGCTGCTTCACTCAAAGATATTGTTCACACCAGAAATAATGCATGCATAACAAGAAAATATTACATGTAGTGGAATGACTGCAAACCTGCTGACCTTGCACAATGCTGGAGTCATCACAAGTGCATGTAGTTATGGTTACATGGGCGAAATGCAAGGAAGTGATGAAGCTGCCTGTGCACACAAACCTCATGATAAACACATTAATATCTGCCATCCAAGAAACCAACAGCAATACTTCTTCACCTTTCTCAACACCTAGCATCTCACATAAGTGACTATGACAACAATGACTCACAAGCAACGTTTGCCTGCATATAAAAGTTGTTAAAGACAGTCATATGTGCATCCAGAATAATGCAGCACTATATTTTCAACATTCTTAAGTGGAAGACAAGTGTGCAAAGCTGTATCATGTGAGCTTACACCAAGCGTGTGCATCAATGAGCTGACCCGCCCCTACTGCGTAAGTGAATTGCTAATATCATGGCACGCGATGGATTAATTACACGCTGAAGTGCCTCTCTAGGTTCAAAATCGTGGCAAGATCATAATGAAGCAGCAAATTGCCTTTGAGCACCCCTGCAGCACGGGTGCTAGTGTTTTTTTTTCAGTTTGACGGCATCACTACCTTGTCATGTCCAAACGCAAATCTAAAGATGCGGGCAAGTATCAATTCATCACATTTTATTGGGAGTTATTACATGTAAAGAATACCGAAACGATGTTCCCTCTCAGAAGTACAAACCTCGCAGACACACTCCCCATCACATCAAGATCAATATAAGCCACTGGCACGCACAACCAGTGATCACACTCATTTCAGGCGCCTGATTCACACTCTAATGCCAAAAAAGTGTGATGCCAGACTCGCACAACTTTCGGGACTATCAGATTGCAGGTTTTCTCACAATTTCCGCACAGGTTTTCAGTTATAACACCGCATTTCACCGTGAGCTCCCTTCAAAACAAAGTCCCAACGGGGGTTCATGGTAATATAACTCAGGAGGTTGTACTTTTAGGAAACAAGTTTTTGTTCAAGGTTTAAATTTGTCCTTTAATGTGTGTTCAATATTTAATAGAATATGCACATAAAATCATGTAGTGTTCCCCTTATTTTGTAATGCCTTGGTAACCCATAAATCCGTGCAAGATTCTTTACTCCCGTACACAAGGCGCCAACCGGGCTGCCTGTAAGAAATACGACAGTAGAAGAAAAACGCCAGCAGGAAAAAAGGTCAGATTTACCGTCGCGTTTTCATTTTTTATGACATTCGGGAGAGTGCCGCTCTTTCTTAGGTCCTGTCCTTTTTGCGGGCAACGGCGTTATCTTTTTACAACATTGAGCCATGGTCTAGAAATAAAGAAAAATGACCCGTTGGCGACGAGTGCTGCACAACCCGAAAGTGCTCACGCTTACGTTCGCGACACACATACAGCAGCGAAATCTTTACTTACAACCAATTACCTTCTGCGGATTGTGTCATACGTGCCGCATCATCGTTTTCGCGAATTTATCAGCGGCCATGCTGTTTTGACCATAAGCAGAAAACAGCCTGTTATATAGCGGCAATGCCATAACGTTTCTATGACGACATGAATGTCAAGGGGACTTTGAAGTAGTCTCCCAATAACCCTTCTCGCACTTTTGGGGGCGTATAGCTCAGGAACCAGAGGGCTTTGGGTCTTAAAAAGGGCGTGACCGTGAACTGCATCAAAAGGTCCTCAAAACAGCGATTTCAGTTCAAAACCCCATGTAAAGGTGGAGCATTTCCTTGAACGCCTGGAATTTTTAAAATATGCATAAATATTTTGAGGGAGATTCTCAACTCATGCTAGGACCATGCCTTGCCTTAGACACCAAAGTTGGAACCCAAAGCAGGGATGTCACATGTAGAAGAACATTTTCGCATAGGGAAGACAGTTTTGATCGACCCATCGACTGTCGTATACGAGATTCGTTGCGCCTCGTGTGGGGCATCCTACACAGAGTCCGTCATTCGCAACTTGCTCAGTGGCATTCAGCAGCATTGGGGTAAATCTATCCGGATGGGAAATCTTCTTGCAAAACCTGACCTCTCTTCCATGGAAGAATATTCATTTACATGTGACACCCCAGTTTTGGCTTCCAGTTCTGTTATGTTGGGTAAGACATAGTCCTCGCTTGATTAGATAATTTTGGAGCCTGCATGCATGCTGAATAAACGCCTAACGCTAAATAACGTGATTTCACCATTTCCATTGGAAAGTGTAATGAAATCAAATATGTCTAGCATTGGGAGTTGGTCGTGTGTCGTTGCATACGCGTGCGATATTTTCAATTTGTCATGTTCATGGTTTAAACCGTTGTGGTTTATACTAAGCGGGGTGTTCTTTTGCCTGATGATATAGCCGTTAGTCTGTGAAACGCGTTGCGAGTTAATAATATATATATATATATATATATATATATATATATATATATAGCAACATTTTATCAACTAACAAGATGCCACTGATGTATACCAGCCAGAACCTGACAGCCTTGTCTCACTGCGCTCTATTTGCCTTGGCTCAGGTTAGTCATAGAGCTGAAATATATCAGTCCCACGGCGCCGGCAGCCGACACTGAAATATCATCGGCAGCACTGTAACCCCCTGCAAGGATCTGCATGGTCGAACGAAGCCAGGAATCGTGGTCTTGCTGAGTGCTTTCACAGCCAATGCCGCCAACAACGTGAGCTGAATTTTGCTACAGCTATCGATCTTCTACCAATCAACTACCACCGATGTTGTATTGATGCCAGCGGTACTGGAGCAATACCTGAGCAAGCAACGATAATGCACCATTTACTGTTTAACTAAAATATCTGACGCTGTAAGTGGACATGTAAAGCGAGTCCAAGTTCGGCTCCTTTGAATGACAGTATTACCACTCAATGTGATCAAATCTTCAGTCTACAAACCTGCATTGGATGATCACCCTTACCAGTAACAGCGATCACCCTCACCAGTGACGCTGTACAGTATCAGCAGTCAGAGCGCGTCCACGCTTCCACAGATATGTCTGTGTGCCATACACGCCATAGCTGCAGAAAATCGTTTCCCTCCACATTTGCGTCATTCTGTTCAATTCCTTTATTTCCTCTTTTTTACATCCACGGAGATGGCAAGGACTCCTCCGACCAAAAAGCCGTGCCAAAAAAGGACGTCGGGTTGAAGCCAAAGACCTCAGAACTGTCAAGTTCCAATGTCTCAGTCTATCTTTTGTGGTATTTGTATAGCATCCTTTCGTAGGACTTGTTATGCTTTCTCGGAAATCAGCAGTCTAAGGCTCAGTTCTTTTCAACGAGTGGGCGCAAGATTCATATATTTATCCGAAGTGCGGTGCAATGCAGCGTAATGCCACAGTGCTTCAAATACATTGCTGCTTCAGTTTAAGCCTTTCCGGCATTGCCGTTTCCTGGAGAAATTGTGGACGTCCGTCATTTACACATCTCTGGCTTTGAGAGTGTCGGTGTCGCAATACGATAGCAAAGGTGCAAATTGTCTCTGCACAGTGAGCATGAGCCGTGCGCATGGGGACAGTGTCATCTGACGCTGCTGGCCTTTGTTCCAGCTCCGAGGTTACCATGTATCTGGGCAGGGAGAACCAGAACCGTGACCGCGGCATGTACTTCACGCGTCTCAGTGTCGGCGTACCTGAGGTCAGTGGCGTGGCTCATGTCCGGCCCGTCGCTGCCTGACGGGTCATCACGGGCATCTAGTCGGCCAAGCTGTGTCGGCCCATTATCAGAAGACCTACATTTAAATATGTCATTCCATCACCAAGCCTCGTAGTCGCCATGACCATACGAACTCTAAATTTGTGGCATTCAGAGTGGCCATTTCCGTAACTATAGAGCGTTGGGTCCGTGTGCGATGCATGAAAATCGCCACCACAAACATCCTGTTCCCTTGAATGATGCGATGCCCGGTCCCGCATTTGAAACGCCTGTGTGCTTCGTCATGTATCGCCTTACGGGTGGGTAAGCACACCCCCGTCCTTCTGAGCCGCCGCTCAATCTGCCATTTCGATTCACGTCTGGACGGTTTTTAGAGGCAGCGAGACGCCACCATCATATTGGTTGTCTTCGAGATATTGCCGCCGGCGCGGCGACGGGTGCGCCGTTTGATCAGCGGTGCGGTGGGGTCACCGGACCGCGCCGCGGCCATGCCGTGCCGGTGCCGACACACCACCGGCGGCGGCCAGTCGAACGCGGCGCCTCCTTGACAACCTGTTTCTGGTTATGACTTGAAGCGGTTACGTTTCCGATTGGAAACAGACTCTCGCGCTGTGGCGACTGCAGACGTAGGGCGAGTGATGTCTCTCGGAGAGCTGTGTGGGGGTCGGTCTCGTGTCTCCAACGCCCTGCATTCTCACATCGCAACGCCTTGGGCATGTTCATCTGAGAACTGAGATAGCAAACGTGCGTTTTCAAGTTGCAAAGAGTCGACGTTGAGGCAAATTTCGAGGCAACAAAATCAAGAAGGCCCGATCTAGGCAGACGGCAATAGAACAGATTGCCAATATATTATAGCATATTGACCAGAATGGAAATATTGTACTGTATGCTTGATCTTTACAATCATGGCTTGTTCCATGCAGTCCCAATCTGGGCAGCGCCAAGTGAATAACAGTTGTGGGAGTGAAGAAAGTACAGAACGTTCGTCTCATATCGCACAGGTCACTCTGATATGAGTGATCTCGCAGAGTGAACATTCTCACTCAAACAGTGAAAACGTTGTCAACTTCTGCGCTTTGGTCCACCTGGACCGGCTGTCGCTTTCTTTAAAAGCTATTCTTTTTTGGACATGGATGGCGGCTTTATGCAGCTTTTAGAGAACGAAGCGAAATCGTTTAGATACTGCGCTCTACAAGCACATGTTCACTTATTTTCGACCTCAGTCTGGCATCATTTTTCCGTGACACCGCACTGTGAACAAAACAGGTCCTTCCCCATTCCAACAGGTGAGTAATACAGAATTGTCTTACAACAAAAAGAAATGCAAAGCATGGATTGAAACCGTAACCAGGTTTCTAAATTCCAAAATTTCGATGATACGAGACGAACACATTTTGGTGGAGGAAAAAAAGCGCTAGCAAAAGTGGTGGTCAATAAGTTCAGCCGGTTACATGCTTCCATGTACTAACCATGGGTTTAATCAGACTGTACTTATTGATGGAGAGTGATACCAGATGTTCAAAAATCAGATCAGATAAAAATCAAGCCGTAAAACCAAATGCAGACTGCGGGTAAATGTACCGATTGGAAATAATCAAACGACCCCAACTTTGTCCAACCGTAGGTGCCCGGTGATGAATGGTATGTAGAAAGCGTGCTTTAGGGCTCAACTTATGATACCACCCGACCACAGCGTTGTAAAGCTTTAGATTTCCTGGCCTGGGGTTCCATTCGGCTGAGAATTGAAGTGATGCATTACAGCTGAAAAACGTCTAATGCGCCGAGAAAACACATTTTTGCTCAAATGAGTTAAAAATAAATGGATACTCATCGTAGCCATTTGCTATATTTATGTAAGCCTGGTCGACATCGGCTACAATGCGTGCTCGTAACGCATTTCCAACTAGAAGCCTCCGCTCCGCTGGACGCGGACATCTCGCGTGCCCACACTCGCTCGGCTCCATTAGGCCAATTTCGCTCCCCGCACCCCGGTGACCCGACCCCGACACGGGGTCACGTGGCTACGGACCAATCCCTGCGCGCCACACAGGGCTGCGCCCCGGCGCATTGCGCCGAACAAGGTTACCCGAGCTAGCGGCTCGAACCGGCCCGGACTGGCTAGGCTGGCCGATCCAGCATGCAACAAGGGAGTACATTGCTAGCACAGGCGGTTGCATGCAAGCAGTTATGCAGACTCCCTACATTTACATTAGCCTGGAGTTCCTCCTCGTCTAACAAAGCTTTGCAAAATTGCATCTCTATTAAAAGCCGGGATCTTTTGGGGGAAGTAGTTGGTAGGGCTGCTTTAATTGCAGCCAGGTTTTGGGCTATGGCGTTGCTACCAAAGAGGAAGCGCATCAAAACGCAAGTACTGTGATAAATCATAGGCAACAGTGCAAGAACGAGGCGCAAAACTGCCGTCCTTGCCAGACAATATTTAAGTTGTTCAGTATTTGTTATGGGCACTACTAGAAGCCACTTTCAGCGCTACTGGGAGCCACAGTTTCCTATATTCTTTCTAGAAAAGCCAAAATGAGAGACTGTTCTGGTGAATACAGTCGCTTTCAGCTTTGCGAGAAGCTTTTACTCGCGGTGAGATGTGGCCAGGGGACCCTTGTGTCCGCGTATGCCCATGCGGTAAAATATCACTGGTGATACCGCCGCAAGTCGCAACCATTCGAAAAGAAGATCCTGTCGTTTTGTAGGGAGAATCTTTATTATTCAGACAACTGCAAAGCCTTGCACCCATTTGACTTCAAGTTTTGCTATCCTCAAATAGACTGTTTTTAGCCATTTTTAGGTCAAGCTCCGTAATGATGACCCAAAATTTCACGATGGGATGGTGGGCTCAGGACTCACGTAACAAGCATTTTTTTTTAGATTTCTGATACTCGGCATGAGAGCTGAGTTCAGAAATCTATAAGGTTTGCGCTAGGTCTTAAAAAAGCCCATGAAGAGAAAACTTCTCAGTGGTAGAGCTTTTAGAGCCAGTTCACTTAGTTTTGGCAATTGCGGTGGATTATGCATGCCACCGTTTGTCGCAAGCCGGAGTCATTAAGATGTGAGGGCCGGGTATTTACAAATATTTTTGCCTTCGAAATTCCTATGCCTGAAGAACTTTGAATGTGACGAACCTACCATGGTACAGCCCTATTTCTATTCAAGGCACGCTCAAAGCACACAAACTGGAAGGCAAGTAGGAAACGACCGAATCGCAATTGACCTCCATTCGCCGGGGACCAAACATTCCACTGTGGACCAGCGGACGCGGATGCACAGCCCACAGCGGAAACAAGTCCACAGTCCACAGCGGACACGGATCCACAGCCCACAGCGGACACGGCTCTTCAGCCCACAGCGGACACGGATTCACAACTAGTCACGCGTAGCGAGTACGCAGACTTACGCATCCTGCACATACGCAGGCGCCCTTCGGTGGGTACTCTTCTGAAGCGTTGCTTAGACGCTCTGCGACGGGCTCTTGGCAGCTCTGCAGCAGCGGTGCCTCTTCAAGCGATTCGAAATCAGATGGGTGCTCTGGCGGGCGCCCAACTGCTGCAGGCAGGTAAACACTCCAGTAAGAGAATGGCAAACAGCCTGACGGTCACCTGGCCCTGCCAGCGGCAGGCGTGTCGACGGGACATCGGCAGACACTGTGGGCTGACTGATGTGTCTAGGCACGGTGACAGTCGAACTGACACTCTGTTAAGATGTTGACAAGCAGGCTACCTAGCGTCCGGCAGTGACCAACACTGTGATAAGACGTTAGGCACAATGTGGTGCCTCCCCATCCCAGTCAATGACATGGCTGATGACACGACTGCCAGACACTGTTTAGAGCAAGGGACAGACATGATGAAGCCGCTGCAACGACTGACAGCAACGATGTTTCAAATTCTGGAGGAGTTCCGAAAGGTATTGCGCCATCGCCTTCAAGTGTCTTATTTCGGGTAGCGTATCCCGTGACCCACACTTGCGGGGCACGTACATACTTTCTTCTCAGACATCGATGCACCGAATTCCACACCACCGACGGCGTAACAAAGCCGTCTTTGATTCTCAGCAGAGTGCAAAAGATGATTGCTACGCAGAAGCCATTTCCACGCCAGGGAAGCCTTTTCCACGCCAAGAAGCCTTTTCCACACCAAAAGAACGCCACTGCCGCCGAGAAACCAGACTGCAATTCTATACTTCATGCAAACTTAGAGCAAACTTGGCGCACTTTACACGATACGTAGTGAAATTGACAACACGTATCACACAACCATGAACAGGTCACACTACTACATATGGGTGTGTGGGCCATGGAAAGACCTTATCTCGTTAGTATTTTTATCCTCCGTGGCTGCTGCGGGGGCGAAGGATATGCTGTTCTATGCTCAACTGCCAAGACTGCTATGTTTTGGTTGTTGAATAGGACTGTCATACCAAAACGCCCAAAATAACTGGGTCGTACCTGGTGCTATAGAGCTATGCTCGTGGACTCCGCACATGAAAAAGCACCGACGTGCTTAACATATTTTGATACTTTTTAGATACTCTAAAGTCTTGTTAGGTTATATACAGATCTATTCTCTCACAGAGGCAACTGTACCACCATTTAGTTTATATAAGCGTGTCCGTTATGCCCCACAAACACATCTGCAGACGGCTCCATGCTTCCCGTTTCTTGGCTGTCCTGGCTCGCACCAACCATTTATTTTCTTGCCAACATTGTGTTGTGCCACAACTGGTTATGGATAACTTTTGAGAAATCCAGTCCTCAGAACGAAATAACGGAACAAATTGTCAATTACCTTCACGAAACGCCATTGGTTGGTTTATGCGTCATTAGGCATTTATTAGAGGGGTAGATATGCATGTTTCCTGCGACAGATAATAGCACCGTTGCATTTTTTGGTCGGGTCCTCTGGAAACGGTGCGCGTATCTATGGTTTACGAGCACTTTCAAAAACCTTCGTAATGGGATGCATCTCGCAATG